GAACTGTAAACCGAGCGTATGGCGAACATCACTATATTCATGTCACTGTGGTTGTGGACAAACCTCCAACACCTGGCTCTCCGCCACAGGACGGCAGCAGTCTTCTGAGGCCGCGCCAGCCTGAGCATCGGCGGTTTCCATCCCCGACTGCGTGCACTGTCTCCCCTGGTCATCCGCTCCGGCGGTCCGGGACGGCGCGTACCCTGTCAGGGCGTGAGGCGCGTCAGCACGTGAGGACGGGCGCCGCCAGTGCGGTTCATGGCGAGGCGACGCCACCAGGGAATGTGAAAACGCGTGGTGACGTCGCGAAGTCACGTCTCTGGGGGTGGTCTGAAAGCCGCTATTGCAGATGACAGCATGGTCGCAGCGCGCCGCACTTACCTGCAGGGCGACTCGCCGCACCGGTCTCTTTGGCGACCTCCGACTCGATGACGGCCGTCACAGTGTCCAGCAGGTGGTTCAGTTCGGTGTCCTCGATCAGATCTGCGGGCCAGCCATGGTCCACACCTGAAGTCCGCAAACACAATCACCTTCATTACAGGGTGCCGCTACCACCCTCATCACCTTCACCAACATAGCCATCACTAGCAACATCATTGTTGCATCGATATCATGTTTACGAAAATCACGTGGCCACAGCATACTCTGAGAATGGAGAAAAGAGGAGATGCGTGGTTATTCTGATCTTCATGGAAGCTTGACATTCGACGCTTGGTATGTCGATGGATGAAAAATGTTGAGGAGTATCGGTAGCGTAAACAAGGTGTACGGAGTTCGGGTCCACGCGGTAACTGCCCATCCTGCTATGGTACAAGACAGGCAATGCCACACAACCCTCGGCAGCTGAGTACGCTGAAAGGCCTCGATGACGACATCCAAATTGTTCACATGAACCGCCAGCTTAAAGGTTCCAATCCCTCGGTCAGCTTAGTATAAAATCTCCCATTCGCACACTTAGTGTTCGTTGCCAACAAGTATAACGCTGCTACCAAGCTACAGGTCATTCTGCCATGCCATCGCCTTAACCGTCCAGGATTTTAACCGATTTGTCCAGGCCAGAGGGGAATGAGCGTGTGCGAGTACTACTTCCCGCTGATGATTGGATTCCGGACTGCAGAGTTAAGTAGCGGGGATTGCAAATGCTTGGACCACGATCATCACACAGGACAAAAAATGACTTTCGAAGATTTTAAGCACACCCCATATTCTGAACTTCGTGTGAGAAATCCTTGCGAGAGTCCTGCTTGTTTCTTTCCACTATGAAAATAGCCCAGAGGCAGTGTTAAGTCGAAGAGGACCAGGACACCATAGACACATAACACCTTGGTGGTTGGGAGAGTCCCAGTGGCGCCTCAAAGCCAGCGAGCCGCGGAGAGTGCGCCCAGCCAGTACTATACGCCTTTCCTTTGAATTTTACGAACCGACAAAACTTTTCGAACGCGGCACTCGGTCATCTAGTCGGCAAAACTAATTGACGATCTACGTTTGGAGAGACGAGATTAACAAACCCGCTCTAAACTGTCGCACTTCACAGTTGTTGTGATACACTTTGGGGGAGGACATCACGCCAGCCTTTTCTTTCTTCAATTTTCAAAATGATAATATGTGAATCCAAACCATTTTTGCATCGATTTGCACTGCAGAAAACATTGTTATCACCAAGCGAGGGAAGTGACAGTCAAGAGGGCGAGCACTCACCTTCGTCCGGCGGCCCGAAGCCCAGAGTCATGCCAACGGGCCATTCAGTGTGCAGGCGACCTCAAGCGTCGGCAGCGGCTTGTTCAGCAGCGCGTTGATGCTAATTGCCATCAGGTGCACGTACTGCAGCTCGTAGTGCAGGTGCGTGGCGGCTAGGTGGAACCTTGCGGGGCCGCGGCTGGCGGTGCCTGGCCAGGCGCTGCCGACAGGCGGCCGCCTGCTCCGACGCCAGCCCCAGCTCCGCGGCCGGCGTCCTCGGCCGGCGCCAGCGCCAGGCAGCTGAGCAGCACGGCGCGCACATGATCGCGGCGGCTGCGGCTGGCCGTGGCGCGGCGCCAGTTGACCAGCGAGGCGGCCAACAGCTGCAAAAGCGGCGGCACGGCGTCCAGCCGCCGTCGGCCGCAGTCCCAGTGTCCGCCAGGGCCACGCGCTGCCGGGAGGCGCGGTCACCGAGCAGCGCACGCTCCAGCAGCGGCGCCCGCCAGTCGACGGTGGCCGTGCTGCGGCGCAGCTTGCGGCTGTGGCGAGCGTATAAGAGCAGCGGCCCCGGCGGCGCCCCGAGCAGTGCCGCCCGCCGCACCAGCAGCGGTACGGCCGCCATCGCCGTGGCCGGCAGGCTCGGGTCTTCCACCATCGGCTTCAGTATACAGGGTACGCCGGCTACGCTGTTTCCGGCGCAGAACAGAGGGTCAACACGTCCTAAGCGCCAGGCGCATGCCGGGGGGCGACCAAGGCGTCTGGTCTGGCGAGGCGGCTGACTGGGACACGCCATTATCCACGCCCGGCTCGGAGGAGCGCTTCAGCCGGTCGTAAAGAGCCTGGGCGGCCGTCCTGCAGAAACTGGAGGTTCTGCTCATCCCTAGAGCTTTTGTTGAACGTAGTCACGTAGTCCGCTACGTGTTCACGCTTCTCCTCAGGCAGTGTTTCCAGCACCTGCAAACCGAAGCAAATTCTGGTATGCTCGGCGTGTTCCCGCTTCCTACCACACATCCCCTACGTGCTCTACATGTTTTGACCTCTTCTAACATTCAACCTAAATGTCGTAGAGAATGTCCATTGCCCAACAGCTATGTCCATATTTTTTGTGCTCCTTCCGTCTTTTTCACCGCTGGATAAGTTGCTTAGAGCCATATGGAGCGTGTTTTGTATCATGTTGTGCTTAGTGGAAGTCGGATGCGCAGATTTGCAGTGCAGAATTATACCAGAGTTGGTGGGCTTGATCACAGCTACGTTTCTAACGTTGTGCGGTTGTTCCTCTTTTCTACCGTCACTAGTGTATCAAAATGCGGACCCCCTTTCTGTATGGTCCATTGTAAAACGTGAATGGGATGAATAAATTGGCTTAACACTACCTGACATAGACGAACACTTGCCCTCGAAAATTCAACATATCTTTAGAAAATTAAAACTGCGCGTACGCATAGCTTAAAAGAACAAGGAGCTAAATAACTTTCTAGTTACATATCTTATATCGAAGCCTAAGTGCCCGGGGTGCGATTGGTGACATATATGCATGTCTGGGTTTTAGGGGGTTTGCACGCGAAGAAATGTGGTTTACGGATTTAAGTGTAAATTGTGCTAAAAACATGGCGTACATAGTCTGTGTTGGAAGTCCATGCGCCCTACTCGTTTCAGTTGTAATGAACACCTGCGAGATGCTAAAAGCGAAACAGATAATCAAAACGAACCCTTTCGGCGACCATCTTTTTGACAGAACACGCTGAGGTTAAAATCCAGGTAAGTACGAACCCTTTAACCCTTTTTGAGCTGAAAGTTATCTTCCAAAGCACGGGACCATCCAGACAGAAAAAAACGGTAAATCTGTTTTTATACGAAGCTGGCGACCAGAATTTGATGTAAAGGACTCATCATGAGAAATTATGTGAATGTGACTAGTGTCCTGATGCGTTATTCATGCTGGGTTGAAATCGCTTTCATGTATCAGTGTTGCACTGACGCTTGATACACGATGTCTGTTTAACTGAAATCGCTTCCATGTAAAAGTGATGTGTGATGCGAGATGCCTGTTTACTTGAAATCGCTTATGGAGGTAAATGATGTGTTATGCCGGATGCCTGTTAACTTGAATTCATTTGCACATGCACGTATTTTTTCGCGCATTTTGATTGTCAGTGAGATGTGCATTGTATCGCAGAAATTAATGGCGACTGCTCCTTGTTTAATACCCTGCACGTTGGTGGTCTGTAAATGCTGTGGCTAGCTGTTTATGAGAAAAAAAAAACAACTTAAAAGTCGAGTCGAATCGGCTTTGAATGCATATAACTCAACGCGACTTTGAATTCGCTACCGATACTCTTTTCGATGAACGCATATAGCCGAAGCATCACATTCATCTCTTCATTTTCCTTTTTGTTCTTTGAGAAATAAAGCTACTGATACTGTGCCACCATGTCGATAGGATGGCAGCATACCTTCTACATAACAGTTTAAACGTAATGTAAACATTATGTCCGGTCACTAAGATCAGTCTACATCAAAGTCATGCCATAATGCCAAGTCGACTTTAGTTCCAACTGCGTTGGAGCTATGACTAAATGCCTATCCTGTAAATGAATCGCGTGCAGGGTTGATGTGTGGTCGTGTATGCTTCCTGCAACGGGAAGAGCGTTCATTGCAATTGTCAAAGGGCGAGACTGCCAGGATCGTCTCGTTTGCACAGGATTGCGTCGCCGCAGACTCGCCCTGCGGCCGAGTGTCTCTGTTGCCGGCGCAGTATCACTGCCTGCTGCCGTCGGCAACTGCAAAGCCCGCCCCCGTACCTGCCCGCGAACAACAAACAAACTCGAATTCAGTTAGTAGCCTGTGCCGGAGAACTCAGTTGAAATCCCCGGCCGCGTCAGGGTCCGATACCTGCCAGTCATACACACGATTTCAAACAGCAAAACCAAGGTGATGCAGATGACTTTGTGGACTGGAACATATAAAAATTTGGCGCCTGGGAGTTGCCTTGTCACCTACGCCACCTCTTTTCCTTTCTCCTCTCCTTCGTCCTACCTTTCATCCCACTTCCCCTAATCCTTGAGTTCCCCCCCCCCCCCCCACCGAACTCGCCGAATGCGCAACAGCCTAAAGTCGCGATGCACACTGAAAATGTGGTCGCTTCAAATGTGATTGTCTCTAGGTGCTTTGCGCGCCGAGATATAACGGTACACGCAAAAACCCGTCAAAAACGCTAGCGCGACTTGGTGCGAGATGGCATAATCGGTCGGAGGCAATGAATTACAGCAGCCAGTCATTAAAACCTTGGTATCTTGCAATTTGTCCCGCGATTTACAGCGCGACGTTGCGTTGCACAAACTCGCGATGCGACTGAAAGTGAACCCGTTTAAATTACGAATGTTGGAAAACAAAATTCACGCATGTACACGCACGCCTGTACATCCACGCGCACGGCGAACACAGCGACCGGTACACACAGCGCGCCGCCAACCACCAGGCGCGCGCCGAGATCGCCCACTCGGATCGCCCGCCCGCCGGCTCACAGCCGAACAGTCCACGGGGCTATCATCACAGCTTGAGAAATGGGTCGGAGGGCGGTTCGTCGACGTTACGCGATGACGTCACGAAGTCATACGGAAATGCGGCAAAAAAATGCAGCAACCGCATTAGCAAACAAAAAATAGCATGGTGTTTGAATAGTGATATGCGCGCTTTCGCTTGTCTCCAAACCCGTAATATGACGCAAGAGACATGAAAATGTATAATGCGCCTATGTGAACAAACTTATTAACAATAATACTTGTCAATCTAACGTAAAACAATGCACTTGCAAGAAGGAGCACATCTCCATCGGATATATACCTTGTCCAGTGCTGCCTGGAGCGATGTCTGGCCGGCCAGCCAGTCCAGCATGGTGTCGAGTCGCTCCTGCTGCGGGGTGCACCACCGTCTCTCTGTGTGCCCGGCCTGCGACTCCGTCAGCCACTCGAAGAACGGGTGGAAGAGCTCGCCCGGAAAGTAGTCGTTACCCGGTAGCGTGGCCACGAGACCGAGCATGGCCGAGTCCACACCGCAGTGCTCCAGAAGCCTGCAGTGTCACAGGCAGCCATCTCCAATTGTCCGGCTCATGTGCTTGGCCGAAAATTTGGTAGGAAGACACGCAAGACGCCAAATTGGCAGGCACGCGCTCATGTGCCAAAGTGAGTTGTGTGGGTCCCATGGCCTTATTTCAGCTAGGCGTTCGGCGAAAGCGTCTCAAAATGGAATTCTCCCCCTCAACGTGGCGACGGACCTTCTCATTCGGCGGGTTGGTACCGGCACATGTAAGTTACACAGGCGGGTGAGCAGCCGGCGCTCACCTCTGTAACTCACAGAGACGGGTGAGATGCAAGCGCTCACCTCTGTAACTCACAGAGACGGGTGAGATACAAGCGCTCACCTCTGTAACTCACAGAGACGGGGAACCTATGAGCGCTCGCCTCTGTAGCTCACAGAGGTTGGTGAAATACCAGCGTTCATCTCTGTGACTCACAAAGACGAGTGATATTTTAGTGCTCACCTTTGTAACTTACAGAGGCAGATGAGATATCAGCGCCCATATCTGTAACTCACATAGACGGGTGCGTTATCAGTGCTCACCTCTGTAACCGGAACACACAGAACTTCATAGAGTAGCCGATATTGTCCCTCGAGCGAAGTGAGATTTCTGCTCTGCGCTCTGGCGTGATGCGTACACAAGGCACGTCCAGCAGGAAGAAGTCCGAATCATTGCTAAGGATGGGGCAGTTCAGACGGCCTGCTAGCTCCGCGGCCGCATCGTCCGTCTCCATGGAGCTCAGGACCACGGCCACTCCCAGTCTGCGCAGCACCTGCATGGGCGAGGTCAGATGCACGCAGGTCAGACGGGCGGGGACAAGGAACGGCTCGTGCAGTCCTCGCAGCGACGCGACCAGGCATGCTGGGCATGGAGACCATGGGTGATAAAACTTGCCGACTTGGTTGATAAGGGTGGTAACAGAAATGTCCTATTTCACGTGACACTTGTTGCCAAAAATGTTTTTGACCGAAAGTTTTGGTGACGGCCACAACAAAACATTACAGTGCGCATTCCACAACCTTACATGGGGCTTCAGCGGTAATGCATTTCATCAAATGCTTGCAAGCCTTTACGTCAAGACCCTTTACCGCACCCTACAACACCTCGGTATCTTTTTGAGGCTCAATCCCAACCCGGCGACCAAAATATCCTATGATTTTAGTTAGTCACTCACTTTGGCGACAGGTCGGCAACCAATAAATGCATTTCGTATGGCCCGGCAAGTTGGCCGATTCTCTGTTCTTACCAGCCAACTCTAATTGTCCCAAACTAGGTAATTATATACTGAATACTAAAATTTAGATATGGCAGTTTATCTGGCCGCAAAGGGATCTTTCAATCATTGCGATGCAGCTGAATTATGTGAGGTTGGCGGTGACTTCAAACACACCGCGGTTGTGCAAGCGGTATTCGCATTGCATGGTGATGAATACCTATCTAGGTTTAGGTTTTCGGCCTTGTCGTCTTTATTGACCGACGGTTCGGGGAGAGTCGACGAGGTGGTCCAATCAAGGTCGAAATTGACCTGTGATCATTCAGACTGCCTTTTCAAGACACAGAAAAGCAACCGAAACGGTTGTCGACTCCCGGCTGTAGCCACCGCAATCACCGAGCCTTCCCGCTTTGAAGAGAGCCGTGGGTTCGACAGTGGGGTATGATGACACTCCGCAGGGAAGGGAATGACAGGAGGTAAGGACTCTTCTGAAGGGCCATTTGATGTCATGGTTGATTTCGTTCTGGCTGAGCATGGTTACCAGTCAGATAAATCCTCGAATCAGGGTATGTACGCTCTCCTTCCTCCAAGGAGGCAATGACGAGTTAGGTGGTGCAGGAAATGCAGGCAATGAGGAGGGAGAGTTAAGGATCTATTGCCATCTCCCCTTAACCAAGACGCTTGATTCAAATAAGAGCCGATTTTGTGGGATTTTGGTCTTATTGTCAAAGGAGTTCAGTAAAAGAATTTGCATTTGGTTATCTCTGCGAGCATTTTTGGCTACTTCCTAATGATAGCACCGCTGTTAGCACAAAAAGCAGCACAAGCAAAGCTCTGAAGGCCATTCATTTTGCAGTCGTCATTCATATCTCATCTGCAGAATTTATTTACACAATCACGTGTATGGATGCAAATTTGTTATGTGATGTTATGTGAGCACTCAGTGTATCTGCCAACATTGAAGTGAAATATTTTCTGATGCAACCAGGAATGAAGTCCCTATTTATATTAAGTGAGCGCTTTGACGGTAGCCTGACTTAAATGAGGACCACACTGGTAGCGGAAAACAGTGCAGTGTGTCTGGTTGTGGCACCATGCCAGGGCTGTCAAGTTTTACCAATTTTAAGGGAGGGAAGTGAGCCATGGGCCTCCCAATTCCCTTTCCCTAAATGCGTTTAACATATTTATTCTGCTCTGTTTTTATCGCAGGTAGTTTTTATTCTTATGGTATTTTGTTTTTTATCAATGGGCGACGAGACCCAATGTTATTTTCAAACAAAGAAAGGTAGGGCCTCACAGAACAAAGACAAATGGATTGTGCTCTACGAGATTTCGCGTGTTGTAATAAGTGTTATGTTGTTACTTGTACTGTGTTATGTTCTACGACATATAGGCTCAGAAGCCCCGTGCGACGTAAAGCCCCAATGGCAACACTCGTTCACGGGCCGCACTGATCTCTCGACCTTCTGTGTGCTTGGGGCCCCTCTGGTTGCTCACCTTTGTAGGCTCGTATGCCGTTTTTCCTTATCAGTGCTTGTCTCGCTGCTGGCCGATGAGGGCCCCTCTGGTTACTGAGGAGACTTGAGGGTGCGGTCCCTCTCTGACAGCTTAGGGACTTACCTGGTTGCGCAGACCCCCCCCCCACCCCCCCCCCCCCCCCTCCCTTCCGCCGGTCACGACGGGGAACCTGTGATCGCTTGTGGAATTTCTGGTACCTTCGGTGCGTGAAAGCACGTGACAGTCTTCTAAAGTCGGCCTCCAGCCGCAAATTATCGTTTTTGTTTTGTGTTTTGTTTTTTCCTCGCCGTGAGAAGAATATTGAACAACTGAAATTGGTGTTCTTAAACAGTGCCATGATCCATGATCTCGTCTCTCCGTGACCCCAATGCATCCTTCTTCTGGAACGTCCCCGCCACCCCCTGCCCAGCATCTGCGCAGTCGCCTTCTCTTTAATCTGAGCACAACCCGGAACGCGATATGTTGTTTTTTTCCTTTCCAGGCAGCACAGAAACCCAATTTTACTCTGTGTTTACACATTCTGGGTTGCAGCGAAAGGCACCCACTAGGTAATATGTGTCGCACTAGGCTTGGAGTATGCCTTAAGTATGGTGGAGAGTATCATGATGGTTGGGGGGTAGAGCTCGGAGCGTACACATGGTTTCCATACGGGACATTACCTCGAAAACGCCCACATGTTGGACGTCATTCCCCAGTGTTGCCTGCCAACTGTAAGAATTCTGGTATGTTCTCAGCTGCCTTGGCTCTCGAGGTCTTTCGCCGTGTGTTTTATTTTCACGGTCGACGAAACTGCTGGCTAAGTGCCTAAATGGAGCCCATATTAGTGCATCATATTAATCAAACATATAAACTGGCATGCTGGCGGGGTGGCGTAGCCTCAGGCAGTTTGTCGCCCATTTACTAGTAGGCTGGTAAGAATCGGTGCAGACGACTTCCCATTCAAAACATAGGGGAGCTGTGCAGAGTTTGGTGGGGCTGAAGCCAATCCTGCCAGCTGTGCTCATATGAACTCAAACCCGTAAGTAAAAAGCCTGCATAACGCATTCAGTGCCAAAGAAATAGCCGAGGGCAATCACCCCTGGTTTAAATAGGCGTTCACACGCACATTTTCATGAACTCTGACACCAGTCACAATATCGAGAAGTGTCACACGACTATGCGTGCTGGACGCCCACATTTGAAACATGAAGCGCAAGGGCGCGGGTGGTCCAGCTTGAGAATACGAGCTTAAGAGTTGAATGTATCATGATCTAAAAATCATAATAAGTTAAGACCTTATGGGAAATGACAGGGCATGCACGTCGGTTTCGTTATAGTCATCACATCCGCGACAGCTCAACAGAGCGAACTGAGGACATCTCTTTCCGAACAGCTTTTATACGCAAATCACCCCTCGGTATGAATTTGCTCGAGGCACTGGTCTGAAGTCGACTTGCTCAATGCTCGATCAAGCCGATTGATGTCGCTCACCTCAACAAATACGCATCTGAGAAGTACCGGATGGCACCATGCGTCCGTCTGCTCGAGGTCAAAGGCCCGCAGGGGGATTTCAGAGGCTCGCACGGATGTGTTGGCGGCCGCCGCAGGACTCTCGGAGACTGGCACAGAACGCTCCGAAGCCAGCACGCATTTCTCAGTTTCCGCTTTGGCTCTTCCCAAGATGGTGTTCCACTTTTCGGCGTAGCACCCAGCATCCATCAACACTATTGCGGTGATGCCGCATCTGCAAAGTGCAATGAACACAAGGTGACGCGCATTCAAGTAATATGTACGAACTCTCAATAAGCAAGAAAGCGACAGATGCTCAAACGGAAGTGCTTGTGGCTTTCATCAATTACAACTAGTCACAAAATATTTTTGATTAACGTTTTGGTATGATTCAGTGTAAAGGAATCAGCCGTGGCATAAGACTGAACCACTTGGATGGTTTCCTCCTGTCCAGATTTCAAAACAGATCGTTGATCTAGATGAGTGAAGTCTAACAGCATGGTGTTGTCGGCATAGCCACGCATCGACCTCGTAACGTAGCCTTTCACGATGTTCTTGAGGCGTCGGTGAGCCGACAGGTCGGTTTTATTCCGAAATCGTGCTACATTCGGTACGCGTCACTGCGCTGCCGCATCGGCCGTTGCAGGTCAGGGCTGTCCTCAAGCCATGGACAGTGGAACGACGGTGGTTTAAGAGGGCAATGCACGTCTACCACAGTCCACAACACGCGCATGACTTCGGCCACTTTAGCTCCACTTCCTCATTCCGGTAAACTGGACTCCAGTCCGACCGCAGAAGATCGAGGTCGAGTGCACCCTAGTTTAGCTTGTGCCATGGACGCACAGTGAGAGGCGCCTGGCGAGGGAAACGGAGGAACATGAGGTAACACGAGGAGAAGGCACCATCTCTGCATCCTTGTGAAATTTTGAGTGACATGATCGGGCCCATTGGACACGTTTTCCCATGGGGTGTCTAGATCAACCAAGCGCAAGTTTTGTGCGGTGATTTCCTTTGTTTGGTCTGTCAATTCCTTTTTTATTAGGAATGTGACATCGCTAATTGATTCTAACACGCGATGTAAAGGTTTCTAGTGACAGGTAAGTGTTGATGAAAAGCTCACAACAACCGAGGGATCCCTGACATATGTCGTGTCGCCAGCTTGACCTTTTACTGGTTTTGCCTTTTGATCGAATAATTTTTCTCGTGGCTTAAGGCCAGGTTACGTTTAACTTGGTGATAAGAACGGCGAGAATTTCCAGCATTGTGGGGATAAACTCACCTCCTTGATATCAGCACTTTGGAGAGGAGAGCGTCCACGGAGAGAACTGGGTCGCGATTATACATGATGAAAAACGGACTTAACCTTACACTATCGTTTTTTGCTGTCCTAGATGCCGCAAAAGTTGCCGGAATTTGGTGTCCCAGTCTTCTTGTGAAGCGCTGATGAGTTTTGCTAACCGATCGCTTTGGACATGGTAAAATCGCTCTTACTTGCCGTTTGCTTGAGGATGGTAGACTGGAGTGCAACTGTGTCTAATATTGAAGAATGTTGAAATTTGTTCGACTCCTGCATGACAAAAATCAGTCTAATTGTGACATACAATGCCGCGGGGCAGGCGTGACGCGGAATATCCTTAACAGGAATTTGTGCCAAACTCTTAGCACTTTTTGATTCGGTAGCAAATGACTCAGGCCAACCAGGAAACATGTCAATACCGTGAATGAAGCACCGATTACTATCATGGCTTTGCGGAAATGGTCCAAATGTGTCTATTGCAATAATTTCGAATGGGTACTTCGAATCTGCATGTTGTGCAGAGGATGGCGTTCTTTTCGTAATTTTGGCATATCACAGGCTATGCAGATTTTCAAATACTGAACTACGTATTGGTACATGCAAGACCAGCAATGATGCGAGCGAAATTTATCATATGCTTTGTAAGTGCCTAGATGACCACTAAAACGTCCGGAATGCGTTTCTTCAATGTGGGTTTTTTGGCGGCTGCGAGGAATGACTAGCTGTACGCCGGGAAGTGGGGCACACCTTTTTTGCGGCTGCGAGGAATGACTAGCTGTAAGCCAGGAGGTGGGGCACACCTTTTTTGAGGCTGCGAGGAATGACTAGCTGTAAGCCAGGAAGTGGGGCACACCTTTTCTGCGGTTGCGGGGAATGACTAGCTGTATGCCAGGAAGTGGGGCACGCCTTTTAGAGTCTGTAATGCGGCATACTAAATCATGTAAGATCGTTTAATTCACGGATATTTCAGAAAATTTGGGATCCTCCTGATTCGCAAGAATATTAAGAATCATTATGATATCTGCGTTATTTTCCTGCGGACTCTCAAAGTTGGGATTGTTTGACAGAAGTTCTCGAAAATGTTTTCCTAATGATGCACCTCTTCTCCTGGGGGCTTCCCCACTTCGGAGTTCAACACCCTAGGTGTCTGGTCGGGGTCTATAATCTTAACGTCTGATGGTGGTTTGAGGCATGAGAAGGCGTCAGCAAGAACGTTTTGTTTGCCAGCAATGTACTGGACATCGCAACCATATTCGTCGAGAGTGATGGCCCAGCGTTGGATTCTTTCTTTTCTTATTTCGCTGGTAACAAGGTGTTTAAGGGTTTGTGGTCCGTCCTGACAGTAAATATTGAGCCAAGAAGATAATATCTCAATTTTTGAATGCCGTTAACAGTGGTGTATGCCTCTTTTTCGATGACAGGCCATCGTTGTTGTGTAGCATTTGATTGTTGGGAGAGATACTGCACCACTTTTTGACCTTGTTTTGCGTCTTGCACAACAGCAACACCAATGACGTGGCTCGACGCATCGGTGTGAATTTTGTATGCCCTTGAGGTGTCTGAGTAAGCTAGCACAGGAGCTGGAATGATTTCAAACGCCTTTTGACCCGCTTCATATAAAAAATGTTATTCTTTTCATAGTTTCGTGAGAGGTTTTACATTTTTTGCAAAGTTTGGAATGAATGAGCGATAATGCGAGGACGTACCCAGCAATAAACGAACACCTTCGACCTCAAAGAGATAATTCAGGTCTCTTCTCCTTCACCAGGATCTGGTTTGATCCCACTTACGCAACTTTTACGACCGAAGTATTTTATTTCCCGTTTCAGAAATTCACATCATCACATATTGAAATTTCAGCCCACACTGCGTAAGTATTTAAAAACCGTTTTGATGTGACTAAGATGTTCTTCGATTTTTTTGAAAAAATTATGATGCCATCAATGTACGCAGTTGCAAATCTATGTTACACCTGCCAAAACTTTGTTGATAAAATCAGAAAATAGTCCTATGACGGTGCACAGACGAAACGGGAGGGCAAGCAAGTGGTGAAAACCTAGAAAACAAGTGAAAGCAGTTTTGTAAACAGAATCAGGATTTATAGCAAGTAGGCAATAACCGCTTTTTAGGCCCAACATGTGAAATACTTTGATCCTCCAAGCGAGGCAAGGATGCCATCGATGCAGAGAAGTAGGTAGCAGCTCTTCATGGTTACTTGGTTCAATTTTCTGTAATTTACACAATTTTCCTTCACTGCGTACTACACCACACTACACCACACTACACTACACTACACTACACTACACTTCACTTCACTTCACTACGCAATACACTTCTTTTCTCTCTACATTTCCTATCAAATATGACCAACTGGCTTGACCACGGACTTCGACTCGGTCGGATTATTCCAGCCCTTAGCGGTTCAGCGATGTGGTCTTGCACCATCTGTCTCTGACTGAACGTGAGCCTATAATGATTTGTGTTAGAGGCTTACGCCATACTTGTATTTTTGGCTTAGATATTACAACGATTGTTTATAAGAGGATAACCCTTTGTTTACATAGATAGATCGATATTAGAGATTCCGAAGACACCTAGAGTGTTTTTGGACTCCGACGTAGAGGAATGTCCGGGAGAGGAGGCGCTTGATCCGGAAAAATTTAGAGAATTTATGTCAAACAATCCCCACTTTAAGAGCGTGCACGAACATGACACGGATATCATCATGATTCGTAACATTCTTGCGGATCAGGGAATCCCAAATTTCCTAAAAATCTCCTCTCATTACACGACCTTGAGCGATTTAATATTTGATGTTAGATGTCGCATAATATTTCCTATGCTTTGCCAATCATGAAATTTGACGAACTCTCTCTATTGGACATTCTAACGTGTTGTGTAAGCCCTGGACCTTAATTTCACGTCCAGCTTCCTGCGTGGTTTGCGCAAGAAGTTCTCCCTCAGTAACTGTATGTACAGATGAAGTCATGTTTGTCAGAGTCTGATACGAGCTCAAGCGTTCAAGGATTGGTTGTGGATGGGTTGGCTCACGATCCAGATGATCTATGAGGAAAACTTGAAGGCTGACGACTTGTCGACGGGATCTTGTCAAACACAGCTTCTATTTTCTAGTTGCTTATCTGCACCAAAACTCATACCACAACCAATGAGATAGCTAACCATTGAGAAGAGAGTACGCCATCGTTCGAAGGACGGCTAAACCAATCAAAATGTAGGGCAAACTGTCTGATGCAGATTGCACGTGGTGACACGCTGCAGGCGACTTTTTGAATGTAGCATTGGATAGTACTTCGGATGCCAGGAATAGTTCAGGCTCCGATGGAACGGATGGCACGTGGTGAGAGAGATGTTTCCCAGGAGGTTTAAGTGTCTTCTAGTGCTTTTCCGCCCTTTTTTGAAAGGTCTAGAAAACTTTTGAACGGTCTACTTTCGTTTGAAAGATCTAGAAAACTTTTGAAAGGTCTACTTCCTTTTGAAAGCTCTAGAGGCGTGATGTTTTAAGCCATCTGGAGATTTATATAATTCTGGATATATTTACTGCCCAGAAATATAACTGTGTTACGACCCGTCAGGGAAACTAAATCGGTTTTCTATTCCTGGAGTCTAAAGGACTATATTCCCGTTCAATCCCTTTTTTGAATATACGATGCTAACTTCTGATTCTTCCCATAATGATCTCAAAGTTTCATAAAACATTCAAGTTCAGAATTGCCGAACGTCTTAAAAAACACAATTTTTGGAAATGATTTGCTCAGCTGCTTTGGTGCAAAGTTAGATGTCGGATAGAGTACACTGAACACTCACAATAACGTCATTGTTCTACGCCCTCAACATCAGACATGTCAGTCAGTGACATCTCTAGTTCGGACCCCTCAGAAAACAACAACTCCTGCGTAGTCTTACGTAGAACTGCCAGC